AGACAGACAGTGGGACAGAGCTCTCCTTGGCTTTTTGTTTTCTAGCTACCTGAGGCAGAGAAGTTCCCCAGACTGTTTTTTTCCCTTTTTCTTGGATCTGTTCAAAGATGCTCTGGACTGAAAACCCAGACAAACCCCAGCAGTTCACACCAGTGGCCCACCTGGGAATGGACTCTGGGAATGGTTTTCCATCAGCCATCAGCCAATCTGCAGTGTGATGGAGACTCATCTCTGTGAGCCTGCTGATGGGCACAACAGGTAAGAGGGTGTGGGGGTTTCTGGAGTCCACACCCAGGTGCTGTTCTTGACAAACAGTTACACTGCCAATAAAAGAAGTGGACGTGTTACTCCTTTCACCCAGTCTCCTCTACTGTCACTTTTGACTGCGATTACCTGAACACACCTGAGCCCTCGGAGAATAAACTTCCTGTAGCTGGAATTGAAATTGAACACTTTAGTTAAAATAATATGACAATTTCTAATTAAATTAATTTTAATTTTAAATTTCTTTTACTTTGTTCATCTTGCTTCTTAAATGTTCACTATTCAAGTGTGGCTATGTCCTGGGGTGACTTTATGATACTGGTATCCCCAATCGTCTGGTTTATGTTATATATTAAGTTCTGCACCTTTAAGACTGGCTTTGAGAGCAAGAGAGGGGGAAGAAGAAGCGCGCAGTTTGTGTTAAGGAAAAACATCACTCCCACACATCCCGCTCCTGGACTGTGGTGTCTGCAGCACGGACAGACAGCGGGACAGAGCTTCTCTCTGGCTTTTAGTTAGTTCTAGCTACCTGAGGCAGAGGAGTTCCCTGGACCTTTGTTTTTTTCCCAATTTTCTTGGATCTGTGCAAGCCTGCTCTGGACTGAACACCCAGCCAAACCCCGGGAGCTCACGCCTGTGGCCCACCGGGGCCTGGACCTTGGCACTTTCCAGTGCCGGATGGACTGATAAAAACCTGAGTGAGCCAAGCTACACCACATGAAAAGGACCTTCTGGATTTCACATCTCATCAAACAGCGAGAGGTTTTATTGTTTCATATTATTCAATTTCTGTTAAATAAACAGGTTTCTTCCACTTTTCTCCAAGGAAATCTTTTCCTGAACCAGCTGGGGGAGAGGCTGCTTAAATTTGTTTTCTGGAGGAGCCCCACTCAGAGGCTCTCTCCCAAATTTGCCCAAAACCAGGACACCAGGCCAGCTGTTTTCCTGTGAGATAGTAGCAGACAGTGACAGGAGACAGCCACAGCATGCCCCAGGGACTGCACAGCCCCAGCCTGGAAGAAAAGGGACCTACAGAAAACTGCAGGGAGCCTTCCTACAAGGGTAGATAGTGATAAAACAAGGGGCAATGACTTTACAATGACAGAGGGTAACTTTAGATGGGATATTGAGACAGAGTTCTTGACTATGAGGATACTGAGGAATTGGTAAAGTTGTCCCAAGCAGCTGTGGATGCCCCATCCCTTGAAATGTTTACAGACAGCTTCTGAGACAGGCTCTGAACAATCTTTAGCAGTGCAAGCGTTCCCTCCACGCCCAAAGCAAGGGGATCAACGCTGGATGATCTCCAAAGCTCCCTTCTACCACAAACCATTCTATAGCTCCTCAATTAGTTGCTGCCCCTCCCCCAGTGCCCCAGACCCCCATCCAGCACTCAGAACACGGAACCCACCGCTCTGTGACATCAGCCCCTGCACCGAGGGCACCAAGGGCAGCGTGGCTGCTGTGGGCATTGCGGCTGTGGCTGTGCTGCTGCACGGAGCCCTCAGTGCTTGCTGCTCACACGGGCCTCTGGCAGCCATGAACTGGCTCAGTCTCCTCGTCCTGCTGACCGTGGCCGGGCTGGCCCACAGCATAGAGTACACCTGCGGGTAAGTGGCCCCAGGCCCTGGCAGGGAGCCACGGCAACACTTGGGGCCTTCCCTGCAGGGCCCCGCCTGGCCCCCATGGCCGGGCCACAGCTTCCCACCCACCATGGGACAGCCTCAGCTCCTTGCCAGCAGCCAGCTGCTGGCACGGACAGACACACACCCCATGGGCTTCCCTGGCCTGCTGTGCCTGCAAGCCCTTGTGGGGAGGGCAGAGGGCTGAGCTTCAGCCTGAGCCACAGCAGGCCATGGAGCAGCATGGAAATCACTTTCTGCTTGCAGAGGGTCCTGTGGGTTCCGAGCTCCTGTCTACAACCGCAACATGGCTTTTGACTATGGCATGACACGCATCGTGGGAGGCGCAGGTGCCGTGGAAGCATCCTGGCCATGGATCGTCAGCCTCCAGCATCCCTGGGCACCATACCTAGGGCATTTCTGTGGAGGGTCTCTCATCACTGCAGAGTGGGTCCTCACAGCAGCCCACTGCTTCGATGAGTATAAGTAAGGAGGAGCAGGGAATGGGGACATCCCCACAACACCAGCAGGTGCCCTGCCAGCAGCACCACCTGCTACTCCCCTCCCCTTTCCTCTCAGGCAGCCCAGCTGCCACACTGCTCAGGAGAAGCCTGGCCTTGTGCCAAGGCTTCCCAGCAGCTTTCAGCTTGACATTCCCCCAGCCTCAGGTGTACAAGGGCACTCACACCTGCCAGAGCCCTGCTCCCTCTCTGCTTTGCCATGCAGAGGTCTGATAACTGCTGGGCTGCTGTGGCACATGGCTCTGCTCCCTCTCAGTGCTTGCTCCATGGCTTTTAGGGATATCGGCATGGTGTATCTGGTGATTGGAGCCACCCAATTGACTCAGCCGGGCCCTGGGGCACAACTGCGCCGTGTTAAGCAGGTGGTGATACACCCGTACTACAATCCTGCCGACTATAGCTATGACATTGCCCTGCTGAGATTGGACCATCCTGTCCAGTGCAGCCCCTACATCCAGCTGGCCTGTGTGCCTGATGCCACACTGAGAGTGTCAGAGCTGCAGAACTGCTGGGTTGCTGGCTGGGGTTCCACTGCTCCAAGAGGTGAGTTCCCAAGAGAGACTTCTGGGCTAGCTCAGCACAGTGGGGAGAGGGTTTGGGCTTCCCCACAGCAGAGACCAAAGCCAAGCTGCAGTGTGTTCCCCTCTGCAGAGATGGGCCTGGTCTACTACCCAAAGGCAGGCAGTAGGGACACAGCACCCCAGTGCCTCTGCAGAGGGAAAGCCATGCCCTAGGGAAATGGATCCCCCATATGTCAGCCTTGGGTGGACAACTGGGAAAGAGCTGCGGGGGGTTCATTCTTTCCTCTGCTCACAGCACAGACATCAAGTGATCACCTGCAGGAGGCCACGGTTCAGCTCATCAATCTCAAGATCTGCAACAGTAGCCGCTGGTACGCAGGGAAAATCCATACCCACAACTTGTGTGCTGGTTACCCACAGGGCCTCATCGACACCTGCCAGGTAGGAGCGGGTCATGAGCCACTCAGCCCCCAGCAGCACCGGCAGCACCACCCCAACACAGACCAGGACCTGCTTTGCCCGGCCACTCAGTCTCTCCCAGCCCCGGCTACCCCCGGCTGCTGCTGTGGGGACTTCCCACACACTCCCCATCCACACCTGCCTGCACAGGGCTCCCCTTGTGCCTGAAAGCCCAGAAAGCCCAGCTACTGCTCTTGGCAGCCCAGAGGTGCAGGTGCCAAATGTTCATCCTCTGCACATGCAGGAGCCCTGTGCAGAGAGGACAGAGAGAGCCCTACCCTACAGGACCCCAAGCCATTCACAGCCAAGCCTCTGGAGGCTCCAGCCCCTGAGCAGAGCTTTCCTCTGCTGGGAATACAGCTCTGGCAGGGGCTGTGAGAGAGGAGGAGACAGCCCCAATGCTGGCAGGGGCCACCAACACCACCTTAATCCTCTCTGCTCTGCTGCAGGGTGACAGTGGTGGTCCTCTCATGTGCCAGGACAACCACGCTGACTCCTGGTGGGTTGTTGGAGTGACCAGCTGGGGAAAAAGTTGCGGCAGAGCAAGGCGGCCTGGAGTCTACACGTCCACTCAGTACTTCTATGACTGGATCCTATTCCACATGGGCAAAAAGAATATTCAAAGTGTTTCTTGAGCACCAGAGTGTGCAGCATCTAGGATGTGCTGGAGTGCACAGCAACTGTTTCCCTCAGGAGCAATCAACCCTATTTATCCAAAGGCAGTCTCAGTGTCAGAAACGTGTTCTGTTCTGCCCACACTCTCCTGTGCACATAGACACTGGAGTTGATTTAGTTGTTGAAGTAAAGTTGCCTATCATCACTGGGAACCATATTTTTGATTGAATTCTGACTCTAGAGCAGGGCAAGGATTGCCATGATTAGCACCTGCAGGATGAGCCTGAAGGCAGACCTGCCAAACACAAAGGGACAGAGTGGATACGAAGAGCTCCAAAGTGCCTGGTCAGAGAGGAGAGTGCTCTGAACCACCAAGGGTTGGAGGAATCTGGTCCATCAAACCCAGGAAGGGAATAGGAAAAAAGCAGACACTTTTGGGGTGGTGCTCAAAGGCCCATGGGCTGCTCATTAGGGCCTGGTGTGAGCCTGGGCTAAGGCAACAGATCTGGAAAAGTCCCAAGCATGACAAGGGAAACTCCTGGCTCCTGACTGGAGTGCCAGTGCCCCAAGGCAGAGCCAGATTTCACTGGTACTAAGCAGGGATTGATGTACCAGGAGGTCACACTTCCCAGATACTCAAAGGAAGAGCTGGGGTCATTCTGGGGAGAGGAACCTGGCAGGAACAGTAGGAGAGCACACCAGGAATGCCATGGGAGGCCAAGCTGAGTGGGCCAAGAGCAGCTGCAACACCAAGGCTGTTCACAGGCAGGGCCAGCCTGGGAGCCAGGGGGAAAACAGTCTCTTGCTGCTATTGAAACTTTGCCTGATGACTTTTTTCCTAACATAAATGATTTAGTCATTCACGCGGAATCTATTTTAGTTCCTTTATCACAGGAAGTTAGAAAGAACGTACACGTTCTTTGGGCAGAACAGTATCTTAGTTTAATTAAAGGATTTTTAGCTACTACAAATTTTTTATCTACTTTGTATGCTAACATTAGGCAGTTTCACGCCAACAAAAAAGCATTTAGGATAGAAACAATTCATGGCTCCATATTAGGGAGAAGGTGAGGGCAGAGAGAGGGAGGAGTTGAGGAAGATGAGGGGACTGTATAATCCTGGCAAATGGAGAGATGGAGCAATCAAAGAGCCCATACACAAACTGAATCTTGTTGTGCTCATTTGCTTGAGTGCTGCACATAATCACCACAGGGTGGGTAAGAAATTTCTTATCTTAACTTTCTAATTTACAAATCACCTACATACTTTACAAATTCACCCCAAATAAAATCCCAGTCCAGTGGGATTTTGTACCCATTTATTCAACTTCACAATATTCATGTGCAGGAGGAAAATAAATGGTAGGGTTTCATGTTGCACTATATGTTACACTAAGTGGTGTTTCCAAGTTGCGCCCCACCTGGGTGGTGTGTTGGATCTTTCCCCCTTGCCCCTCTCCTTCGGTTTCACTCCACTGGCTGTAACCTGCCTTCCACTCCTCTTTTCCCCTCAGTTTAAAAATCTCCATGACTCCTTCCTCTGTCTTTTTTTCCCTGGAGCAGTTCCAGAATAAACCAAGTGACAGTGTCCAGGGAAGAAAGAGCCTCCTTCGTCCTTTACCTTTGTCCTGCTGAAACCCTCCAACTCCTGGCGGACTGGAGCTAGTCGGACAATTTCTGGGGGCTGGGAGGAAAGGGATTATGGCAGCAGGGCATACTGCAGCTCTTCAGAGAAGATGTTTACAAAGCTACCCTCTGTCACTCTAAAGCAATTGCCCCTTGTTCTATCAGCATACCTCAAATCATGGATAACCTGCAAGACTGTGTCCATGGTTAAACCCTCCCCTAGTCTTGGGCCCACTTATCGGTAGCCTCTCTGCCCTGCTGACCTGAGGTATCACAGGCCCATTGAGCTAGGAACAACTTCCCCTTGTGTTGCCAATCCAAACTTATCTGTAACACCTTGAATATGTAGCCTGATCCACCTGTTCATTATTGCCTGAGTCCTGGACATGGGGACATCCACATGACAAACTTTAACAGTCAGCTCCTCTTCCCAGGCAGTGATGTCTTGCCTTTCTTCAGCAGCCCAGACTGGTTTTCCTCTATGCTGCATTTGGCCTCTTTCCACCTTTTCAGACACTGCCAGACCATTTGCTACCATGCAGCAGTCAGCGTAGAGGTAGAGTGTTGGCCACTTCTCTTATACAGCAATGTCCAAAGCCAGAACTTTCAGCTCTGCAATCTGACTGGATCCACTTCATCCTTCAGTAGCTTCTGCAACTCCCAGCATAGGGCTCCATACAGCTCTTTTCCATTTCCTACTGGTCCCTACAATACAGCAGGATCCATCAGTGAAGAGGGTGTACCGTCCTTCACTCTCCAGAAGCTGGATATATGGTGGGGCTTCCTCAGCACATGACACCTGTTCTTCCTTTTCTGAAGGAAATCAAAAGCTCTCACCTTTGGACCAGTTTGTGGTGACTTCCAAGATGCCAGGGCAACATGGATTTCCTATTTGACCTCACTGTGATGTGGGTCATCCATTTCCTCCAGGTAGCATTGGTGGCATGATGTATTGCAGGGAACTTTCCTTTAAATATCCAGCCCAGCACTGGTAGTCAGGCTACCAGAAGGAGCTGTGCTTCAGTGCCAGTCACTTCTGAGGCAATTCAAACCCCTTCATAGCCTGCAAGCATCTCTTCCCTCTCTTGGGGTGTAGCTGGCCTCAGATTCTGTATGCATGGCTCCAAAACCCAAGAGGTCAGCCTCGAGTCTCCCCAGGTCTCTTCTGCCAGAGGCTCCAGGATGGACCATTCTCCGTGGCTGTGGTGTAGAGCACATTCTTCACATCCTGTCCTGTCCTGGCAGGCCCAAGTGCTGTTGCATGGGCAATCTCATGCTTGATCTGCTCAAAAGCTTGCCCTTGCTCAGGGCGCCAGTCAAAATCCTTCTTCTCTTGTGTCATGAGGTAATGAGGTCTTACAATCTGTCTGTATTCCAGGATGTGCATTCTCCAAAAGTCCACGGTGCCTAGAAAAGCTTGTGTCTCTTTTTTGCTGGTCATGGGGACACAGCACTTATCTTAGTAATCCTATCTGTTGGCACCTGTCTGCATCCAGCTTGCCATTTCGTCCCTAGGAAATGATTTTCTTGGGCAGGCCCCTTTACTTCATTTGATAGCAAACCTGCTTTCAGGAGACTCAGGATTATTCACTCTCCTTTCTCATAAACCTCCCCTGCAATGTTCCCCCACACAATGATGTCATCCATGTACTGCAGATGTTCTGGAGCCTCACTCTTTTCCAGTGCAGCCTGGGTCAGTCCATGGCAGATGGTGGGGCCGTGCTTCCGTCCCTGGGGCAGTCAGTTCCAGGTGTACTGCACACCCCTCCAGGTGAAAGCAAACTGAGGCCTGCACTCTTCTGCCACAGGAATGGAGAAAAACTCATTGGCAATGTCAATAGTGGCATATCGCTTTGCTGCCTTGGACTCCAGCTTGTACTGGAGCTCCAGCATGTCTGGCACAGCAGCTCTCAGTGACAGCTCATTTAGGCTACAGTAGTCCACAATCAATGTCCATTCCCCATCAGACTTGTGCAAAGGCTAAATGGGACTGTTGAACCATGAATGGGTCTTACTGACCATTCCCTGGCTCTCCTGTTCATGGATCATACCATGTATGGGAATCACGGAATCTCAGTTTGTGTGGTATTGCCGATGATGTACTGTAGTGGTAGCAATGGTACCTGATGTTCTTCTACCCTCAGGAGTCCTACTGCAGAAGGGTCCTCTGAGACACCAGGCAAGGTATTTAGTGCCCTCTGCCTTCACAGCAGCTATTCCAAAAGACCACCTGAGTCCTTTAGGGTCTTTGAAAAAACCACTCCTGAGGAAATCTACGCCCAGAATACGGGGGACCTCTAGACCAGTCACAATAGGGTGTTTCCTCCTCTCCTTACTAGTCAAGAGCACCTCAGCTTCCAACAGAGTCAACTGCTGTGACATCCCTATTGCCCCAACAACAGAAACTGTTTCTGTCCCCACATGTCCCAGTGGGATTAAAGTACATTGTGCAACAGTGTCAACCAAAGCCATGAATTTTTGTGGTTCTGTTGTGCTAGAGCATCTGATCCACACAGTCCAAAAGACCAAATTTTCCCTCACATCTACCTGGCTAGAGGCCAGGGCCCCTCTTGTCCTGCCTACCATTGACTCCCTTTGCATACATTCTAGAGGTTCCTTCAAGGAGGAGGACATAGCATCCTCCCTTTCTGTTATACCTGGCAGCTCAGTTATGGGAAACTGTAGCTACATTCCTTCTGGTTGAATTCCCTTGTTAGTAGTTTTATCCTTTAGTTTACACACCTGTGCTGCCAGGACAAAAATGAGTTTTCCATCCCACCTCATATCTTCCCCATGCTTACACAGGAAGAACCACAGGTCATCTCATGGGGTGTATCCCCTCTCTCTAGCTGGGGTCATCTACCTCTGATAAGAGGGCATCTGCTTTGTGTCGACGAGACTTAGAGAAGGTCCTCTTTTAATCTCCTTCCTGAGTTTCTGATGGGTCTCTTCAATCCTGTCTTCCACTTTCTGTATATGCTCTGCCAGGCCTGTTTCCACAGCTGAGATTTTTGCTTCTGTTGGGCCATGCACCATGTCTTCATTGTACCGAAGCCTCCTTGTCACAGCACTACTGTCTCATCCCTCTCCTTCCACTGCAGCGTTGTTATGGCAGGGCTGTACATTTGTGGCCAGATTTGAGCAAGTTGGAGCCATATCACTGCCGTACATTTTATGATGTCTGGACCTTTAGCGGCTTGGTCATCATCTGAGAAAAGGACCTCTAGCACTGCCAGTTTTCTCAAATGTTGGATTCCTTGCTCCATGGTCTTCCAGAGCCCTTGATGCAGTTGGAGATCTTCAGGGCAAAGTGTCTTTCTTTCACACTTATTAAGAGCCATGTCCAGAGGCTGAGAGGTTTGGGGCTCTTTGCAATACCCTGGTCAATACCCACA